AAATACTTAATACAAAAAAGAAAGAGAGAAATCTATTCATCGTCACCAGCGTCTTCCTGGATTTCTCCTTCTTCCTGCTCGTCTCCCCAATGGTCAGGCACATCAGCCTCCTAATCGCCCCCCTTCTCAGCTTCTCGCTCTTCCTCCTGTCCATCTTCCTCGCGAGACTTAGTTTTCTCAGGCTCACTTGCTGCGGCTGCTAAAGATGGAGCACCACTGGAGACTTCCAGGAAGACTTCCGCCTACGGAATATTGAAGCTCCCTCGGATGTGAAGCTGATCTCTTCAAAGACTTCCAGATTAGCTTTGCTATCAGCAATCATCTTCTCGACATTCTCGTCCACCAGAGCCGGAATGTCGTAGCCCTGTTTACGAAAGATGTTGAATGCTCATTTAGCTCCAACCCATTGAGCTGCTGTCGATATTAACTCCTAGGATTTTTCCTTCTGGGAGAGAGATTCCTTCACCTTCGCGACCAGGCCAGCATAATGATCATTTACAACGCTGGTCGTACGTTTGGCCACTTCTTGACCGAAAGTGATTTTTTCCTGCTCGGCCAATTTCTTCTCGGACTCGAGCCTCCTTTCAGCGGCGGCCCTTTCCTTGTTATCTGCTTTACGACCCGTCCAAGAAGCCTGTTCTATCAGCAATGTTTTCACGCGCTTGCACCAGACTCTCTGAGGATTCCCCGAGTTTAGCTTCGAGTTTGGTGCTCTTTAGCTTCTCAGGTTCGAGAGCTTCTTTGAGGGCTTCTTTCTCGGCCTGGTCGGTCTGACACCTCTTGGCGTCACGATCGTACTCGCACATCACAGTCAGTGCGGTACTTAGGGCCTGCACAAAAAGAAAATCGTAAGAACCGATCCGTCACTTCTATAATCAAAGAAACAGAGTATGTTTGACATCTTACCTTGGCCTAATCGGCCACAAAGCGTGCAATTGGCTCGCTGCGAATTAAGCTTCGGGGCTCGGTAAGCGGAAGTGCTGGGTGATCCCTTAGTCGGAGAAAGAAGTCCAGACAAGAGACGGGATCACTCACTAGCGGACCATTCCCTCGGTAATCATACGAAAACCCAAACAAATGAAGCTCCGCTCGACACGAGGCCTCTTCGACCTTTGTGATTCTTCAAGCATCTCCTCCAGGCCCCTCTTGTTCGAGATAATGGGATTGCCTCCCCCACTGGCCTCGACCACCCCATGCTCCTTACCTTGAGCATCCTTGCATTCATGTTCTAATAGCTTTTTTCTCTTCCGAGCTTTCTCTGCCTTCTTCGCAGCCTTCTTGTCGGCTGCCTTCTTAGCCCTCGTGGCGTCTTGCTCAGCTTTCTTTTTGGCTGCCCTTGTGGCCTTGTCCAGGTCGTCCAACGATCCAGACGGAGCAGAATTCTTGGCTCCTCTAGTACCGGGTGACCCGAAAGCTGACTCTAGATAGGCAGGAAGGTCCTTGAACGATAGTGATTTCATCTTTTCTGGTCGGTTTCTTTGTTGAAGAAGGGCAGCTGAAGAAGGTTTCAATAAAAATAGTTAGCCGACTTAACATTTCGGTTGGCTTTATGATTAAATGACAACAGGAAACTAACCTTTTGTTCTCGCGAGTTTCTCTTCTGTAATCTTCGGCCAGGTGATGGCGCTGATCGCCGAAAATCTCTCGGAAACATTGTAGATGTCAACCGGATTGTCTAGTATGGGAAGATGCCTATTGCCTGCAAGACAAACAAAACGGGTTAGCAAATCAGGTGGATGCGAATATTTAAACTAAACTTTTCAGGTCGGGCATCTCTACCCATGACCTCTGCCCACTTCGTTCGAATTGGGATATCCCGATCAACAACGGAGAATTTGTTGATCAGTACGAAGAAATAGCGATCTCTCCAGTTGACCTCCTTCAATTTCTGACCACTAGTCACGATATTAAACCGCGTCTTCATGCTTGTATAGTACGATCCACAGTTTCTTAGCTTTGTCTTGGTTTGTCTAGTATTGTTCAACGTGTCGAAGGCGGCTCGGCTCAAAGGGATGTCGTGCTTGATCGACATCACCAACATACTGACGACCAGGCGGATCGTTGCATGGGTAAACTGACAGATCGGCATCTCCTTCCGATCGGCGAATTCCAGCAACAGCCTTGGGAGGGGAAATCACAAATGAAAGTCTTTGAAGAAGCATTCATAGGGGCACAACCATCCTTTGGGGGAATCTCATGGCCGCTCTGAAGGACTCGGGACCATAAAAACCACTTCAGGGCCGATGTCACATTATTCTTTCAATGTCACCACGGACTCCATAGTCGACTTGGTCGGCATCACTCCCAGCAAGTTATCACAGATCAGCCTAATTTCCTTCTCTCCCCTTCGCCTCTTAAATTTTTTCACCGGGGGGTTCATATCGATGATGCCGAACTGGTTGACTTCATCTTCAATGATGATTGCGTTCAGCTCGTCCGAGATATCCATCTCGTTTGATCCACCCTCTCGTCTGATTCGTCCCGCAACTCAGGGATCAGAAATGGTTCCCTCGTTGATGCTTCTCCGCTCATCAGAACGGCCCGACCTGGTCGGCGTGAAGACGCTCGGCAGCCGCCCTTTGGTTTTCCTCTCGGACCCGTTCCTGGTAGGCTCGGTCCAGCGCGGAAAGATCACTCGCATCCGAAGACCGATCTGACTCTGATCGGCAGACGGCAACCTCTTTGCCCTTTGATCGGTTTCTAACATCTTGGTCGGCTCGCGACATCTCAAGAAATTCCTCCATAGAGACGCCGATCTCATTAGCTTTCACTTGAGCCGACCTGTTCCTCTTTGATTCTGGTCGGTCCTCTCTGATACTTAAACTTTTGGTCATCGCGGATCGAGGCTTCAACGATGGATTTGGGCTGATCGGAGAAATCAAACGGCGAGAATCGAACAAAACGCGGCAGAGGTCTAATTGAAGAATTCTAAACAAAATAAAACGAAGAACAGAGAAGAGAGAGAGAAGGGACCAAACCTGAGTTTGACAGAGTTTCGCTAAAAATGCAGAAATGAAGAAATGAAAGCCGAGTCCCTCTTATTGATACAAAAGTCTGGACGGTTATCGAGAGTTATCATGAGTTCGGCGACATTTCAGATTTCTTCTCATTTTATTTTAATCGGCCTCTTCGCCCTCCTCTCCTAGCGTTTGACACGTGTCAGTCCTAGGTTTGCATGCGCAGACCTATGCCTAACCTATAATGCTTTTGGCGGGAGTTTTTCGCGCTCACATTCACCATTTGACCCTCGACACCGCGCCAGTCTGAACTCGAGGAAAAATTACATTTTTTATCCCAACTCTTTTTGCAGCTGACCAAAATCCATATCAAGCAACACCTCTTGAAATTTGCCAAGTAACATATCCGCACTTGCCGAACTGGGGGGGGGGGGGGGGGGGGGGGGGAAGACTTACTGTTAGAGATGAGATTCGTACCATCTATAAGAACCCGATATGAATTCTGGTTGGTCCATCTTACAAGGTTCATGTCGGCCAAATAAATGGAAATTTTCCATTTATCAAGTGAACTCAGGAAAAACAGAAGTTCAGTCTTATCGGCAAGAAGACTTTCCTTTTCCGAACATACATAGAAGACCGACCTGATCGGTTATAAATAGGGGAAGTCCATCGACTTCTAAGATCATCCAAAAAAAATCCTCTCTCGAGACCTAGGGCAAACTTGCAATCTTGTTGTTCTAAGCTCTCGAATTACTTTCATACTATTTTAGGTCGGCAGTCTTTACTCCGACGACCTAAAACCTCTTGTACTCTCAAGCTTCGGTTATTCTTAATAAGATCTCTCTTTAAACCCATTAACTCCTGTTCGTTCTTCTATATACCGAATTTGAGTTTTCACATATAACATGCATGAAAATAATTGTGAAAACATATATAATACTTCAAGCTAAATATTTTTATGTTTATATCTTTTAACAATTCATAATAATATATACAAAAATATGTTATTTTAGTCACAAACATCAATTAAAATAAAAAAAGTCATAATGACAAATTTTCAAAATTATTATAATATATATTATTAATATTCGGATTTACTATATAAGGAAATATGATATTTTACATTATGGTTTAATTTATATATAATAGATGACAAATATAGTATATAGCATTATTGTTTACTTTTTTGGTAAGATAATACCAATATTAATTATTTATTTTATTCATTAATGTTTCATTTATCATATACAGTATCAAATTTTCAGCAAGATTTGTTCATATGTGTTTTCTTAGTTTGTCGGATTTAAATCAATCAATTTAATTACGTTAAAGTTTTTTATAAATTGATAATATTGTGATTTCAATATTTTATTACCTTATAGAATTATAAATGTATCAGTTTGGAATTAAATAAATTATCTATTAATAATTAATTAAAAATTATATTTGCTTTAAAAGTTAATTATATCTTTAAATATTTCACTTTTAAATTATAGATAAACCATAAAATTATTTCAATTTTAAGAAAAACAAACCATTATATATTTATATTTTAGTAAATTATCATAATTATATATTTCTATACAATTATTTTATGGTAATTATTAATTTATAATATTAAAAGAATCATATATATTTATATAGATTTCCTAAAAAATATTATCTTATCGATTTGTATCATATTTTGAACAAGTCTAATTAGGACTAGGAAAATTTATTAATTTATTTAACTAATAATATTTAATAGATAAGTAACAAACTATTTAAATAATAATATTTAATTATTTAAGAGTCAAAAGTAACTAAATAGGTACATATATATTGTATACCAAAATCTTAGACATTGGTGAAAATAATGAATTATTTCACCAAAGTTTTAACTGCGTCAGATATAAGTTCACATGGAGGATTTTCAATATTAAAAAGACATGCCGTTGAATGTCTTCCTCTGCTGGTATTTTCATATAATTTCTTAACCTAATAATCTCATATATGACTCGATTTGTGAAATTTTATATGACTCTTTGCATTGAATTTTTTTAGGACATGTCTCAGCCAACACCGACTCAAGAAATAGTTGTTAAAGATCTTCACGGTTATGAATGGAGATTTAAGCACTCCTTTAGAGGTAATATATTTTTTTATTTATTTCAAACTCTGCGATTAATGATCTCCATTTAACTATAAACAATCAAGTAGGTACACCAAAAAGGCATACTTTTACAACTGGTTGGAGTGCGTTCGTGACAGCAAAAAAATTGGTTATGGGAGACTCTTTCATATTCCTTAGGTATATATAGTTTGTCGTTTTATATTCCTTTGTTTCTTTAAAAAACAAAATTGAAACTTTAACTACTTTCTTATTCAAGAGGAAAGAATGGGGAGTTACGAGTTGGAATACAAAGAGCAGCTTATCAACAAGACAATATAGTTTCATTGATAATTTCAAAACAGAGTATGCACCATGGAATCATTGTTTCTGCAATGAATGCTATCACTACCAATTGCGTGTTCAATGTGTTCTGTAAGCCAAGATAATAAATAACACTTTTTTATTCTACTTAAAACATCATATGATTAATGTTTTCAACAAATATGCTTATATTTTTGTTCTTGATATAATTATATAAGGTCAAGCCAATTTGTCGTCAAATATAAGAAGTATATGGATGCAATGAATAACAAATTCAATGTAGAATCAAGTTTTACAATGAAGTTTGAGGGTGCTAATTTTACTAAAACAAGGTAAAACTTAAAAACCTATATTTTGTTATTTGTTTCCAAAATATGATTACGAATTTCTGTTTTTTGTTTTCATTGTTAAAGATACTCGGGGAAGATTATAATCAATACAAATTATTCCTCTCATTGGAAAGATTCTGACTGGCGAAGCTTAGAAGTAAGATTCTTTATACTTGAGTTTTTTATTACAATAATAGCATTCATTAACTCTCTTTTGTAGGTGAAATGGGATGTGGCTGCATCAATTCCAAGACCTACTAAGGTTTCCCCATGGGAAATCGAGGCTTTGGCACCTTCATCAAATATTATCCAATCACCTTTGCTAAAGAATAAACGACCACGTCATGTTGATGAAATTGGTAAGAGAACACTATTTAATAGGTTAAGTCCTCTTTGTGTAATCGTTCTCATATGTATATTCTAATTTATAGGTTTAGATATGCGGATTCCTACCCTGACTCAAGGCCAAGAAATTGGACAGTCAAGCAGGAACTCTCCAATGAGTATTTCTCAGTTTAGTAATTTTGATGCAACCGATTATTCCAAGATTTCGTCTGGCTGGGTAATGAACTACTCAGTTCCTACCATAACTAAGCCGAACAGTAATGACCAAATGGTTATGTCTGTGAATGAAAAGATAACCACTGATACAACAAGTGGTTACAAATTGTTTGGAGTTGATAAGATGAATCCACCAGAGACGAAAGATCTCCTTGGACAAATTGACTTATATCAAAAAGTTAAAATTTCTAGAATCTCCGATGAAGAAAAAATTGAACAAGTCCAAACTCCAGCATCATCAAAAGATATCCAAAGCAAGCAAATCAATTCTAGTAGAAGTCGTATCAAGGTATTGAAAAAATCATCAATTTCTCATTCTTTACATATTACTTAGTTTCAAAAAAATTTATATTGTACAACTAGAGTATTAGAGAATCTGGGTATGATTAGAAAATTAAATACACAGAAAAAATGATTTCTTATATATTAGATATGTTTTTTATTAGTAAAAATAGAGTAAGACAATTTTGATTAGCCTTTATATTCTTAATATTGTTATTGAACAGGTTCGAATGCAAGGTGTAGCTATAGGAAGAGCTGTGGATTTAACTGTTCTTGATGGATATACCCAATTAATTAATGAACTAGAATCACTTTTTGATCTCAAAGACGAGCTGCGTACGCGCAATCAGTGGGACATAGTTTTTGTAGATGATGAAGGAGATATCATGCTTGTTGGAGATGATCCATGGATGTAAGTTTTTATTCTTTTTATTTTTCCCTCTCCTATATTTTAGAAAGAATTTAATGAGAATGTTTAGTTTTGTATGTAGTGAGTTTTGCAATATTGTGAAGAAAATATTCATACGCTCCAAAAAGGAAAGTCAAGATAATGAGATCGAAAAACAAATTCTCTAAAGGTGGCTCAACACTGAAAACAACAACAAACAACAACAACTTTTTAATTTTAATTTGATTTTCCACCTCTTTGCTTTTATCTCAAAATAAATACTTTTCAGTGTTGTCATGTTTTTCTATTTCGTTTATGTGAAAGTTATGTTGATAACTTAAATGTGTTTATGTTTTCTGAGTTTTGTTATGTTTAGTGTTTTCTTGATAAGAAAAGTTGTTTATTACAGAAACCAAAATGAAATACATAAGTTCATTGTCAACAGAAACAACCTTGGAAACATAAGCCCACAAGAGAGAAACTAGGCCCAAACAAGTAAAACTTACTAACAAAGACTAAATCACACAACAAAACAAGTAAGCCTGCAAACACCCAAACCAAATCTGAAAGGATCAAAGCAAATGATCAACAAAAGCAGAACAGCTATATAGCTTGCTCGGCCTCAGCAACAAGACTCCAAGCAAGAAAGACATCAATGAGGGAAGCTTCTTCCTTTGATGAAGAACTGAACACACACAAACCACTACCCCCTTGGCACATAGTTATTGGGAGATCTCGGGATGACGAGATCGATGTGAACATATTTCCTCCTCATTATTAGGAAAGTTAATATTAATGTGTATATTACCTTACTGTTAAATAAGTATAATTCCTATATTAAATATGTAAAGAACTTGCTAAATAAGTTATAAAATTTGTATAAATAAGCCTATTAGCTAATGAATAAAGATGAGAGAAACTATTATACTACAAAGGTTTCTTCCAAACTTATGATGGTATCAGAGCTAAGATCGGTTTGAGTTTTGTTATTTTCAGAGCAATAGTCACATACAAAAGACTTTGTTTGATCCTTGGCTGCCTACTGCTGCAGATTTATCTTTCTATTGGTTTTTCTTCTCTAACTATTGATTTCTTAAAAAACAAAAAGAGAGAGAGGATGACGTGATTGTCCAAACTTCTCAAGAAATTCAAGTTTTTCCTGCTAATATTTATTATTCTATTTTCTTGGTTACTACTATATCTTAAAAAAAAAAGAAGGAAGAAGAAAAAAAAAAAGTTCTTATTTACTTCGTATGAGAACTACGTTGTTATTATTATTTCGTGACTTAGTACTACCAGGTTTCTTATGCTTGCGACTTGGATGCTATTGGTTATGATGATGACTCCAATGGATATATACTGATCCGGTGGTGATGATGATGTGATGAAGTTTATGTGGACTATGAACATGAATTAATTGATGGGTTCGTTCAGTTCACATGGTGATATGATGACGAGAAGATGGAGATACACAGCACTACGATCATGATGTATTTTCCACCGAATGAGAACCTTGTGGCGAGGTATAATGCCATTGATGACCCGACGGTTGGGTATAAACACCTTGAAGACGACCTGATGATTTGTCCAATCTCATACGTGTTACTATGTATGAGCTTGCGGGAGGATGTTGGGAGATCTCGGGATGATGAGATCGACGTGAACATATTTCCTCCTTATTATTAGGAAAGTTAACATTAATGTGTATATTGCCTTACTGTTAAATAGGTAGATTTCCTATATTAAATATGTAAAGAACTTGCTAAATAAGTTATAGAATTTGTATAAATAAGCCTATTAGCTAATGAATAAAGATGAGAGAAACTATTATACTACAAAGGTTTCCTCTAAGCTTATCAATAGTTAAGATTAAAACTAAATCAAAAGACATAGACAATATAGTGCAGCGAAGAAGAGGACCACCAGCCATCTAAGAGTAAAAACCAATCAACACCGAATCTTCTACAAAATGACACCCAATCCAATACCACTCCAGAAACCAACGAAGTAAAGCTGTGCCACTATACACCACCAATAGAAGAATATATTTGCAAAGGCGAATAAAGGACCTTAAACTGATGGGCTAGGAAAAGCTGCCCTGAAACCAACTTCTTCAACGAAAAGATGCCAGAGAAAAGAAGGAAAAACCCAGAAGATGCCATCATCGAAGCTGAACCGAAAGCTAGAGAAACCAAAGCCAAATCTCAAACAACAAAACTCCCAAGCTTTCAATTAAAATTCTAAATTAAAATTTACTGTTTAGTTTGTAAATCTTTTTCCATTCAAATCACGAAAATGGAAAAGATAACTTAGTTATACATAAAACAATATCACAAACCAAACAAAGAAAATCTGAGAACTTAGAAAGCAAGATCCACAAAAGTATTACCACATAAAAATGACAAAACTATAGGCATCAACTATAGCTAGACAATGCAAATACAAAAAATAAGGTTTTGAATGAAGATTCAGTTAACCGAAAGATATGTATAACTCGAAACGCTCTAGGGTTTTTCACCAAATATTCGATTTAGATAAATCTGACTATTGGCAGTATTAATAAATTAATTTAATATACTAAATTATTATTTTTTGAGGAAATGCTCTAAAATAATCAAGAATGAGATTTTGATGTGAAATGATACTGCATGAAAATAACTTCTATTTTATGGTTTATAAGTTATGAATACCATTTAAATTTTGTATTAAAGGGATGAAATAATAATGTAAGGTTTAACCATGTTAGAGAAGTGAAACTGCCATCAAGAATGACTGAAAAGAAGGTTCTAGAGAGTAGAACCATATTGTGATAATGGTGACGGATTGGGGTTCAATGCAGTAGGAGAGGAAGTAATGATCTATTAATGTAAAAAAAAATTTATGAAAGCAAATAGTGCATAATTTTTTGTTAGATTGACCACAAAGAAAACATAATGAAATGAGTCTATTTCGGATAGAAAGGATAACAAAGTCATCTATTAAAAGTTTTTTTTAAAAAATACTAAAAGAATGTGATATATGAGACATAATGAAAGAGATTCTAGTGGAGAAGAAAAAAATAAAACCAAAACCTTGTTTTTGTATCTGCTCGATAAAAACGAATACAAAAGAGATTGGAAAAGGAAAAATAAAAAAGTGACAATTGACGTTACTATACTATATAAGATTTGTACTTTGTTGGATAGTTTGGTTTTTTTATATTTTTGTTTAATAAAAGAGAAGTATCGGAGAAGAAAACAAACTGAAGCTTTTGTTTTTATATTAGTTCAATTAAAAAAATCTAGTAGAAATAGAAAAAAAGAAAAAAGAAAAAATGTCGCATTTTAAATTCTAAGATAACATGTGACAGTATATCAGAGTTGTTTATGCAAAAAGCCTTACTATATTTTTTATTGTTAAAAACCAAAATTATATATGTCATTTTCTTAGATACCACATAATAGTATATCAGAGCTGCTTCTAGAAACAAAAAAAACTTACTTTATTCTGAGAAGAAAAAAAATTTAAACGTTGTTTTTGTGTTGTTCGATAAAAGAGTATATAGTAAAGATAAAAAAAAACAGAGAAAAAGTAACACATGACCTTACTATATTATATAAAATTTGTTTGAGTAATTTGATTTTCGTTTCTGTTTGTTGGATAAAAAATAATAATTTGGAGAAAAGGGAAAAAACTTAAGCAATGTTTTATGTTTCTTTGATAAAAGAGAATATAGTAAAGATAGAAAAAAGAAAGAGAAAAAGTAACACATGACCTTATTATATAAGATTTGTTTGAGTGATTTTGATTTTTGTTTCTGTTTGTTGGATAAAATAGAATAATTTGGAGAGAAAAAAAAAATTTGAGCTTTTTTGTGTGTTTCTTTGATAAAACATAACTAAATAGAAAAAAAAAAACTACTTTATTCTGAGAAGAAAAAAACTTAAACGTTGTTTTGTGTTTGTTTGATAAAAGAAAATATAGTAAAGATAGAAAAAAAGGAGAAAAAGTAACACATGATCTTTCTCATTATATTATATAAGATTTATTTCAATGATTTGATTATTGTTTCTTTTTGTTGGAGAAAATAATTTAGAGAAAAAAAAAGCTTAACCTTTTTTTTGCATTTGTGTAGTAAAATATAATTAAATAGAAATAATTAAAAAAGAAAATAACATATATTAATTTCTTAGATGCTACGTTTCAGTATATCAGAACTGTTTCTGAAAAATAATCTTATGTTATTAGAATAGATATATTTAAATTTATACACATAAAATTATTGTAATGATTTAATTTAAAATTTTAATTAAACATTAAAAAATTATTTCTCGTAATTTATTTCTTAATATGTACAAAATCTTCCGTAAACAACCATCTGAAAGTCATTTGAAAGTTTGATTCTCTTGCAAAGTCCCATTTGTTCTGAGTGCTCCTTGAAAGAACATATTATGCTAAGTTGAGACGTTTGAAATCATTTATAGTTGATTCTTGTTTGTCGTTTGCTTTCTGAGATCTTATGGATGATTAGAAGAATGAACTTGTTTCCTTTTTATTACTTGAAACGAAAAAATGAGAAAGAACAAATAAGCAGAATCTGTGATTATGTTCACGAGATCAAAGTTTCAAAACTCTGCTCATGAGTTACTGTTTTGACTTATCTTCAAGACCTTTTGGATTCTTACAATGTTATTTTTCTAATGATTTTGGAACGAATCCTAAACTCGTTGAAGAATCACACATTCCTAAGTTACTTTACTTGCAAGCTATTATGAAAGAGACTCTTAGGCTTCATCCTTCACTTCCTCTACTTGTGCCTCACCGGAAGAGCGAAGCCTTGGTGGTTTCGGATTACACGGTTCTGAAATATTTATAGAGATCCTAAGAATTGGGAGGATCCAAATGAATTTAAGCCTGAGAGGTTTCTTGATAGCTCGTTTGATTTCAATGGGAATGATTTTAAGTATTTACCGTTTGGGTCTGGTTGTAGGAATTTTTGCGGTGATTAACATGGCCAAGAGTATGGTTCTATACAATTAGGCTTTACTTCTGCATTCTTTTAAATTGGGAAGCTCCTAGAGGAGAGAGATTTGAAGTTGAGGAAAAGTTTGATCTTGTTCTCAAGTTGAACAAACCACTTAGGCCTGAGAAAAAAAACCTGGACTGAAAACCCAAACCAGAACAGATCTGAAATAACCGGTTTGAATCGGGTTTGGTTATTAGATATTTATCCAACATTTCAAAATTGTGGGTATCGGTTTAGATTCGGTTCCTACCCAACAATGTCAAAATGACCATATGAGGTGGGAAAAGGCACCACGGCTAGTAGTAATAAAAAAAAAAAAACCACACGCCTAACTGTTCTAAAGCTTCCTTGGGTAAAGGAACTACGCTAAACTTCTCAGAGTGCATATCAAATGCCATGAGTACATCTTCGTGGTTGCTCTTAAGGGTGGCTATATCAGCTTATGTTTTTTTAACCATAACTTTTTCACTTATATTTGAAGTTTTTGTGAATCTATTGGAGTTTTTCAATCATAGAAATGAAATTCCTATAATTGAAAATCCTCCGCAGAGCTGTGCATGAGCTGTGCAAAAGGCTTTTATAAATAAATTCCGGGAAATATGTGAATAATAACACTTTCAATTTCATATCTATTTTTCTCTCTCAAGACCTCTCCACTAGTAAAAAAAAAAAAAAAAAGGACCTCTCCACCTTTCAATTCCTATAGCCATTTCGATTTTCCTATATCTTGTTCTTTTGTAGATTTGCAGAACTGTATACTAGAACTTAAAATTGTTAATTATAGATAAAGTCAATTCCCTATATTTTATAATTTCTAGACTTCTCGTCAAATTCACTTGAGCCGACTGCTTATGTTGTAATTCTAACACTAGGTAAAATAAATGGCAACACCAATTTCTATTTTTATATACAATTATGCTAAACCATATTTGGTGTTTTGTCTATGTATAGATTGTGAAACAAACCAACATATATTTTTGGACAGAACAACCTTAATCACGAATAAATACTTACTATGCAATTTTCGCAGACTAAAAATCTTGAACAACATTAGAAAGAAAAAGCAAAATGAGTCATCATATACCAGTATTTGGTTATCTTTCATTCTTTTTACAAGACACTAGACGAATCCAGAAGAATAAGCGTACGTGTGGAACCAAATTTTTTTGTGTATCGTCTGTTATATCTTGAAATCTGTGGAGCTACAAAATGATCGATTATCTGAAAAATGTAGGTACACTTAGGTCCTCACAAATTATCTGTCCATGATATTATCTTATTCAATAGCTGCCAATTCTCTCGCTCAAGGAGCACTACCATGTCAAGACGTAGAATATGCAAGCCAAAGATTTGATGAAGGATATATTTTTATGGGTTATACCCACAGTAGCGACTTGAACATCTCCTTAAACACATACTAAGGAGATATTGACATCTTTAACAAATAAACATATTAAATTGCTGAACGTTTAGAAACTGATAGTAGTAACTAATAATACATGTCTGACGCTATTGAACCAAACGAACTAAGATCACCAGGAAACATGTTTTCTTCCTCTCACAAACTTGACAAAGCAAGACCTTAAGTTCTACTAAAGATATGCAAACAACAAATTGGTGCTATTCCAAATAGATAAAGTGATGAATAAATGAAGCAAGAGCAGAAAGAAACCTTACCAAACCGTGGAGAGAATTGTTGAGGTTCTCAAATTCAACAATTCGTTCTTAGCCCAATGCGATCATCATTCGACCATTTGAGAGACTCATTAAAGCTTTGTGAGACTCGTGACCAAAAAAATTAATAACAGAACGACATTTCATATGGATGACTAGCATTTTGAGAAATTTTATGTGTGTGTGATTTTATTTTCCACCATTACAATCGATCGGTTTTCTTATAATTAAAACAAAAAGAGGAGCAAGTCGTAAAAAAAAATATTAAAACAACAAGAGGAGCTAAGTCGTAAAAGTAATCTCTTCCACCATTACAATCGATCGGTTTTCTTATGATCTTCAATATTAAAGGCCCTTCGCCATATTGCTTTAGCTTCACATGTAGCCTAAAGCATTCTTCGGTGGTCTAATCCAAAGATTCTCAAGAGGACACAAATCCTCCTGTTCTTGCCACTGCTTACGCGGATAGTACCTCTCTTCATCAAACGAATACGATACACAGCGCTTGCAATTGAAACGAAGCCTTGGGAAGTAAACACTATTCCTCATCCATGGGAGGTTAACTCTCACCTCGGAAGAATAAAGACTCGTGAAGATTGTTAAGCCATCAAGCGTAGCGCTATTGATCTGTTTCCATTTGTAAGACTCTAGTGGAAGCTTATAAACAACTGGTTTCTCACCTCCGCATGTAAACATTTTAAACAACACTCCCTTACGCGCCGCCAAGAAAAATCTTTTCTTCTTCCGCTCATACCGATAGCTAAATCTACCTGACATGTAAGGACACGGAGGTGAAGTAGTATAACTAAAAATCCATTCTCGAGAAGACGGTTCAAAGAAATATAATCTTCCTTTATCGTCAAGGCAATAAAAGCGACGGTTTGCATAGACAACATGGTTGTGCTTAAGTGAAACACCATACTGAAGATTGGACTGTAAATCCTCAGTAATCCACTCTCGGTTGCTCCGGGATGGCAAGTGCTCGTAGTAAACGTACCATGCCGAACATACTTATACGCTAGCAGAACACAAGTACCTGATGTGGGTGCACAGGAGAAAGCGATTGCATCATATGATAACTCAAGCTTTGGTAAGTTTATGAGTTTACGAGTAAACGGATTGAAGAAGAAAAGTTGGTGTGAAACGGTTTTGCGCATAAGTAACCATCCGTCTCTTGAGTAACACACCGTGGATTTGGCTAGCTCCGGTAGATTCAGTGTGTACATCTTCTGTTGCAAAGGATCATAGAGTTCGAACAAGTTGCCACGTTTAGGTAAGTACATAAGCCAAGGAGGCTTATCCACCAACCGAACATAAAGACCGGCTTCACGCCATGTTTTGCAGACAGCGGAGGCGCGAATATTATCTTTTAAGACAAGTTGAGATATTATTACTTCCAAGAGGCATAATGGAAGGTCAACAAAACTTGGCTTGCTCTCGATGAAACCGTTTCCTTTAGCATCTACGTTTGACCTGTGAAAAAAAAAAATTAGATCACCAAGTGAAGTTGTGATTTGATTTTTTGACGAGTCATAAGACATCAAATTACACAAATCTTTCAGGTCCTATAAATACTGATAGTTTTCAGAGTGATAAAACAAAATGACACTCTGAGAGGAAAGATTACATAATATCTTCTGTAAAATCTTACAACAATCAAGTCATGTTCTTTAATGCGTAACATAAAAACCCAAGAACATTTCAGGTTCTATAAAATCTACACTGAGATTGAAGATTGCATAAAACAAATGTTGTATATAAAATCGTACAACGTTCTAGTCATTGTAGTAAATACCTCTAATGCATCACTTATGAACCCTAGAACATTTCAGATTCTTTTAAATCTGATAAATTCCAGATAAAATTAGACTCGTATTTAAACAAATTTCACGAAACCCCTCGCTCTTACTCCTTAAATCCACTTAATATTCAAATATCCTGAAGATTATAATCTTCAAAAACCGCTTAAAAGGAGCCCTAGAAGATACAGAAGAATGAAACTTACAAGTAAAGCTTTCCCTTCCGGCCAGACATAGTGATAAACGACGATTACGAGAGAGACGAAGGAATTGAAGATTGGTAGCACGAGCCATATATTAAAATTTGCTTTAAGAAAAAACAAAATGGCTTATAGAAGAATGGCTAAGTCCCCTCGTAGCCCTTTATATATTACTTCCAAAACCCTTATCAGTGCGAGTTACAGATGACATGGCGGGTATTGTGAGTAATTATTGACAAATAAAGAGGATAGAATCTTTGACCAAAAAAACAGGATAGAATCTGGGAGTTTTCAATACAAAATGGCTGAATTTTGTAACGACGAAATTATGAACACAAAGGTTCCAGCGCTTCCGTTTCCAAAATCAAATATATATATGGATATGTGTATTAGAGATCCCGATTTAAATATTTGATTCGGGTTACTATATTTTATACCTCACATATTCGCAATGTATTATGATTTGATCTTTAATTAATTTAAGATCTATTAGTACAGTAGAACCTCTATAAATTAATACTCGATAAATTAATAATCACTATAAATTAATAATTTTTACCGGTCCCAAGCCTGGCCAGTGTAAAAATTAATAAATTTCGATAAGATAATAAGATAATATTTTTTTTGAAACTCCAATGTAAAAATATAGTCCCAATAATTATATAAATTAATAAGTGTACATTTAAGCATATATAAATAATATAATGTAGTAAAATATAATTATATTATTGTTTCAAGTTTATAAAAATTGTTTGACTTATTTTTTAAATTCACTGATATGATATTTTCTGAATAAATTTTTCAATGTTGACAATATTTTTTTATTTTTTTACAAATATTTTGAATTTTGAACCGAAATATCTCTCTATAAATTAATAAAATATTAATTTCTCGATAAATTAATAATTATTAATTTATCAATTAATTAATAACTCTATAAATTAATAAATTTTTGCAGTCCCAACATTATTAATTTATAGAGGTTTTACTGTATATATCAAAACTATTGCTCATATATATATTACTAGATTAGGACAAGCATATATATATATATATATATTGTGATAATTCAAATTCGGTCTAAAGAATGAACAAGAGTTAATAGGTTTAAAGAGATGCATTTTATTAAGAGTAGCCGAAACTCGAAAGTACACAAAGGTTTTAGGTCGTCGGAATAAGACGGCCGACCCAAAAAGAGTAATGAAAGTAGACTCAAGAGCTTAAAATAACAAAATAGTTAGTTTGCCCTAAGTCTCGAGAGATGATTATGAATGACTTGAGAAGTTAATGGCTTCTATATTTATACCCGATCAGGTCGGTCTTTTAGAAAATAACTTCTTCCCATTCGAGATAGGAAAACTTCCTTGCCGATAAGGCTAATCTTCCGTCTTTTCCATTTATATAGCCGACCTAAATATTCTTTGGAGTTCTTGAAATGGGCAGATCTCAATGGATGTCGGGCTTTTAGAGTAGGTATAAATCTCATCTCTAACATACATGAGTTTTAAATAACATATTTATAAAGTCATAAAATTAATTTGAAAACAAAATCGGATAATTTATATAGAAAAAATAAAATAAATTAAAAATAACAAAACAAACCTTCAAAAATAAAATAAGTTTATGAGTAATATTTTGTTTTTTCTATTAAGCTTAGTCTTTACCTTTTTAAAAATAAATTTCTTCTCTTAAATGAAATATATAACTTTTTATTATTTTAAATTTATTATATTTTCTTTTAGATATTGTAGTAGTTATTTATTATATCCTTTTTCTAAATAAGTGTTATATTTCCTAAATTTCCTAGAATAAGAACCATTTATAATAACAAATTTTTAAATCCATTAAAATATTTTTTTTTGAAAAAATAGAAAACAAAATCAAATGAAAAAGTGTATGAAAAACACAAAATCAAAATGTAGAAGTTATTTATTTTAATTTTCATTCGCTTTCAATTAAATATTCAAAATACAGAATCTGTTGCAAGTCCTAAGCAACATTAGCTTTATTTTTCATTTAGTTTAACACTTTATCAAATATTTTTACACTAAAAGTTTAACAATTTTTGAAAAAAATAGAAAACAAAATCAAATGAAAAAAATGTATGAAAAACACAAAATCAAAATCTAAAAGTTATTTATTATAATTCTTATTCGTTTTCAATTAAAATATTCAAAACACAGAATTTGTTGCACATCTTAAGCAGTATTAACTTTATTTTTTTTTAGTTTAACACTTTATCAATCTTTTTTTTTGTATTTTATTGTGTTAAAAACATAAGTGTGCAATTTGAGTCCTTCAAATATGTTAACTCTCTTCAAACAAACAAAATTTTTCTTTCTCTTCACATTCATCTTCTCGTATATGATTTCTCTTCGTTCGAGAAAAGCTATGGTTCTTAAAACTCGCGTCAATTGATTTTCTACATGACTTTTGTTCATCCTTCTCCTCATTGAGCTTATTATCGTCTAATATCATATCATTAGCATCTAATTTTTTTTAATCCTACGTTGTAAATTTGCATGTAATTATTGATACCGAGAACAGTTTAGATGAATATAATTTTCAGCAAACGGATTATAAAGGATAAAAATTTGGAATACTGAACAAACGAATCATAATGGTTAAAAATTTGGAATAATATATCATTTTATTTATTTTTAGTTTTCTTAAAAAAATTTAATCACAACACATATCAAAATCTGAATTGAAAAATTTGCCAAGTGTGACGATCATATGAGTTACTAACTTTATAGAATAAGATATGTAGCCAAAAAACAAATTATGCATTTCAGAATCATTATATTGTAGTCACTTTACTCACAAAGCACACATGCGTGTATTATGATTTATCTTGATTGATTTGGAATCCATCATTTCAAAACTTTTGATATACAGTATGTTTAAAATTTGATCAACTTGTAAATAAATTCTGGAAAAAAGTAAAATCTATCGTTGTCGAGGATAGACCGAGTTTAAACGATGAAGTATACTTTTCGTTCTGATAAACTACTAAGATGTTGGATTCAAATAAATATTTCCGCTGGATGTACATATATTATTATGACAGATATATATTATGTTTAAAATTTTGGAACATGATATGTACGTGCGCCTCATTAGGTGTCTATTATAATCAGACATAATACTAATAATTTCTACGGCTGTGTTTGTGTATATATAACCAAAAACAATACAATTCTCCGGCAAGTAATCATGGCTCAAACTACCATCGTGATCTTCCTCACAGCCACATTACTAATGGCGGCTACGGTTGTTTCATGGCAGAAACCACCTAGTCCTACGGCTCCTCCCACAGTTAACGAAGTTATGAACTGTGCAGCGGGTTTGACTAATTGTGTTCCGGCGATTACTTTGGGAGGAACTCCGTCGACGGAATGTTGTACTGCCTTAGAGACCGCGATGAAAACGCAGATATCTTGTCTTTGCGGCTTTATCAAAAGCCCAATGTTATTGGTCCCTTTCAATGTCACTGCCTTCAATGCTCTTCTCTCCCAGACTTGTGAACCCACCATCGATCTCAACTTATGCTCAGAAACTGCCGGTAAAAACCGTACTTAAATTGGTTCATTCAATTAATAACATAAATGTTACGTGCTCCCACGTTATTTTCTTAAACCACACGCGAAAACATGCCATATTTTTTTAAGATTATGCCAGGTCATATGTATATTTACCTTAAACTAGGTATTTATCCGCGCTATACTGTGAGATATTTTTTAAATTTTGTATCTATTTTTAATATAATAAAATTATTTTTATAATATAAATGGGTATTATATTTATTTTTTATTAGCTTAAATTATGCATTTATATGTTTTAAATCTGAATAAACATTATATATATATATATATTTTTTTTTAAATTATAATTTGCTATTAAATTTAGTTAGCTAACTGTAAAAACTTGGTGAATTTCATGGTGTTGCTTGGTATGCATTCTGGTCGGCTGTAAAAGAGTTAACTAAATATTAAAATTTTACCTGAAGTTTCTGATCGGCCCGATGATGAGGGTTAGATTGTGAATCTGGGCGCGAAAAGTTCCCGCCAAAAGGTGATGTAAACCGGGCATAGGTCTGCGCATGCAAAACTAGGGTTGACACGTGTCGAACCCTAGTAGGTGAGGGCGAAGAGGCCGATTAAAATTAATAAGGAGAAATATGAAAGGTCGCCGAGCTCATGATGACTCTCGATAACCGTCCAGACCTTCCTATAAATAAGAGTGAGTTGGCTTCGATTTCTTCACTTCTGCATTTCTAGCGAAACTCTGTCAAAATCAGGTTTGCTCTCTTCTCTCTCTTCCTTGCTCTTCATTTGTTTAGAATTTAGGTCTGCCGATTAGACCTCCGCCGAGTTTCGTTCTGAACGCCGATCAAACATGAGTAAGAGCATCAAAATCAGGGAAGGCCGATCAGGCTCAAAGGAAATAAGATCGGCGCAGAAGAAGGCTGATGAGAACGGCGTCTCCTTAGAAGAGTTTCTTCAGATGTCTAGGGATGACCAGGTTGCTAGGAGCCGATCGAAGGGAAAGCGGGTCGTCATTGAGGGATCAGAATCGGATCGGTCCTCGGATGCGAGTGAGTTGTCTGCGTTGGATTGTGCGTTCTAGGAACACGTTCGAGAGAAAAACCAGCAAGCTGCGGCCGATCGGTTCCACGCCGATCAAGTTGGAATCGTCCAGAGGTCTGGGGAGACATCGTCCAGAGTCGAATTCGAGATTCTCGAATTGCGAGATGAAGACGATGTGAGAGGCGGATCGAACGAGATGGATATCTCGGACGAGCTAAACGCCATCATTGTTGAAGATGAAGTAAATCAGTTCGAAATTATCGACATGAATCCGCCAGTGGAGAAAGTTAAGAGGCGAAAAGGGGAGCCGGTAATTAAGTCGATCTGCGACAACGCTCTCGGAGTGATGCCCACCAAATCAACCTTGGAATCACTGGTTACCTTGAAGGAAGAATGCGACATTGGTCCTGAGGTGATCTTCATGGTTCCGAGCCTGTCAGAGCGACCGTGGGATGCTCCTAAAGGATGGCTATGTCTCCACGAGTGTTTTTTGATGAACTTCCATCTCTGGTTCCCGCTTCCGAGGCTTCTT